ACCACCATCACCATCACCACCACCACCATCACCACCACCACCATCAGCAGCAGCAGCAGCACATCATCACATCACCATCATCACCATCACCACCATCACTATCACCACCACCATCACCATCATCATCATCACATCACCATCATCACCATTATCACCATCACCACCACCACCACCACCACCATCACATCACCATCATCACCATCACCACCACCACCATCATCATCATCATCATCATCACATCATCACATCACCATCATCACCATCACTATCACCACCACCATCATCACCATCATCATCATCACATCACCATCATCACCATCACCACCACCATCATCACATCATCACATCACCATCATCACCATCATCACCATCATCACCATCATCACCATCATCATCATCATCATCATCCATGCCTACTCTGTGACCCATCCAGAACTCCCTATCTCCCTCACCTGTGAAAGTGAATTCTGTTTTCCTTCTGTCCTGATGCCCAGGAATCTCCTAATGGTTCCTGATCTGAGGCTGAATTCTGATGCCAGTATGCCTCCCCTCTATGTGACAGCTTCCGATCTCATCTCCCAAAAATGCCTTTGAAGGTCCAGCATAAGTTGGAATTCTGAAGGCTATCTTTCTCTGTCATTTCTGAAATTGACCCCAAAAAATGAAACTTTCCAGTGATGGACATGCTTAAGTGCAACTGCAGATATTGCATTTCTTGATAAAAATACAATTTATTAAAAAGCAAAACAACCCCCACTAAATGTTTTCCCCCTATTGGGTTGTTGGGTAAAAAATGTTGCTCACCCTCAAGTTGAAGAATGGTGTGGTTAATGTAGCCCAGGGGCCGAACTTGGGCCAACAGATGCAAACATCAGCCCCACACCATCTGTGGGTTCCAGAGTGTGGGTAGGGGAGTGGGTTCCATGGTCTCCTAGGCTCTGCCATTCCTGGGGTTTGTGAACATTGCCTTAAGGTGGAAAGGGGGTGGCCTGGGCCAGCTCCCATCCACAGGCTTTCCCCACTCCCACAGGTTTGATCCAAAGAAAGGATTTTGGTGCCAGCTGCTTGAAGGAGGAAAAACCAAGTGTCTGGGCAAAAGCAAGGGCCGGAAATACCCAGAGATGGACTCGGATGTAAGTGGTGGACACGCTGCCCACGGCAGCTGGATAGATGGAGGGGGTCCTTGTACTGGAGGGAGTATTCTCTCCCCTTTACCCCACACTTAGGACGTTAATGGCCTTGGCATTTCTTGGATGGTGTTCTTAAGAGGAGGAAATAGGGGCCAGGATATGGTGGGTTAAAATTGATTTAGTCAAGTGAGGACTTATTACTTTCTACTAAGGGCTGAGTGCTGTGGGGCTTTGAGGGTGAATCAGACGTGTTCTTTGCCTTCAAGGAACTCCTAGTCTGGGAGGGAAATAACACACACACACCAATAAGTAGAATACAAGGCAGGAAGTGCTTTGTGCAGTAAGAGAGGTGCGCACAAGTGCTATGGGAGTGCAGAACAAGGAGATGCCGTGGGAAGCTGGGAGTGGTAAAGAAGGCTTCTCAAAGGTGAGGAGGGGGCTCTGGAGTTGGGCCTGGAGGGATGGGGTAGCACTGGACCATGGCATGGAAGGATAAGGCATTCTTGTAGGAGAGAACAGCCTGTACACAGGATTAGGGGAAAGGTCGCACACTGTGACTCTTGTCCTGTTTCCCTTTTCCCATTTGCTCCTGGTTTTGATTAAGTCTCTCTCTTTTCTCCCTATCACAAGGATTTTGACCTTGTGTGCTATAGTTTGGTGCTCCTACCGTATAGGAGTTTTGGAGGCTACCATTTTGAAGAAGATTTTGAATAAATAATAGGTGTATGGGATGCTGCCAGCAGAATGGTTTTTTTTTTTTTTTAATTTATTTATTTTTCCCCCAAAGCCCCGGTAGATAGTTGTATGTCATAGTTGCACATCCTTCTAGTTGCTGTATGTGGGATGCGGCCTCAGCATGGCCGGAGAAGCGGTGCGTCGGTGCGCGCCCAGGATCCGAACCCAGGCCGCCAGCAGCGGAGCGCGCGCACTTAACCGCTAAGCCACGGGGCCGGCCCGGAATGGGGTTTTAAAGAGGAGGGGTCGCTCTTGAGTCAGCACGTCCAGATCTGAGCTTGCCTTCCTGTTACAGTCCCGCGCCTTCCTGAAGGACTATTACCGGGACCACAACATCGAGCTTTCCAAGCTGCTGTACAAGATGGGCCAGACCCTGCCCACCTGGCTGCGGGAGGACCTCCAGAACACCAGGTAGCCGTGGCCGCCACAGCCAGACTGAACGTTTGTGACGGCGGGGACACCCTGCCGCGTGCTGAGCCAGACTGACCTGCAGAGTGCGGAGCTGGGCCCGGGCTGGCCAAGCACTTCTGAGCAATACTCTGCTGAGGCCCAGACAGGGCCAAGAGAAGAGCCCTGGCAGGTCCACAGCACCTCAGAGCATCCAGTGCTGGGTCTGTGACCTGTAGGACCCCTCTAGCCACCAGAGGTCCATTCCGTTCACAGCCTTTCATGGGGAGGCCACTTCCTGTTGGTGGAAGGCCACTTCCTGATGGGGGGAGTCCATGAGACTCTCTTTTCTGTTTCTCACTGTGTTCTACCTACCATACCCTCTCCTTCATCCCATCACTCCCTGCCCCAGCAGGAAATCCCCTCAGTATTAGCTGCCGTATCTTCCCTGTCCACCAGACAAAAGGGAGAAGAGCCCAGCTGGGCCTTTTGCCAAACCAGGGAGAGAGACTGGACGTTTCCCTGACTGTTTGGAGCCAGGCCCTTCCAAGAGGTCAGCCGGGTACCCAGAGTCGGTCACTAGGCTGGGTGTGAGAGTGGCCACCTCCAGAGAGCGCTGAACCGCCACACGTTCTGTTGAATACCTTCACATCTCACCTTCCCTTTTTGGGGAAAGAATTGCTGGTCCTTACAGTATCCACCCAGCCCTCAAGGCCTTCTTCAGGGCCCTGGGGCACTGCCATGCCATTTGGACCCAGAGACCGAGGCCTCGACCCTATGCCCTTTCTTCACCCTGGGCTATGACATGTGTGGTGTTTCCTGTGGTAAAAGACTGAGGCGATTCAAGAGTCTGCCAGTATACATGTTCCAGTGTACATACGTTGTCCCCATGCCCACCCAGCCTTGGCCCCTGGCAGACACTGGGCAGAGTCGGTGAGACTGCCATCCACGGCTTTGCCCCAGCTACCTGTGGCCGAGGGTTCCTCGAGACCCCCTTAACCTCCCAAATACTAAGAAGCTAAAGTATTTTAATATTTTGGTTTTTTTTTCTTGGTGCCAGAGTTTGTACCCTGGGTGCTGGGGTCACACTGTGTTATATATATATATATATAATGTGTATATATATATTATATTTTTTTTGGTTGGGTTTGTTTTTAATTCAGTTGTACAAAATGGTGGCAAACCCCAGTCCCGAAGGGGTCATATCTCAGTGGGAGATAACGAGATGGGGCTGGGGAGGAGAGGGCGTGTCTTCGTGCGTCAGGGCCTCAAGGAGACAGTATGGAGGTGCCCTTGGAGAGGTCTCTGTTCCCTCTCCCAAGTGCCATGGCTGTCCTGGGGCTGCCCCAGGTGAACAGAGGGGGTGAGATGCACAGGGAACATCTACTCTCTCCAGGAAATCTAGCTTTATGAAGTGGAGTGACCCTGGGGGGATTTTGGCCAAAGGAAGCAGCCGGGCTGGGGTAGGAGACCTGGGGCCGAAGGCTGGCCTGTTCCCCTCCCCCTCACATGGTGCTAGGTTGGGAGCTGCCCTGGGAGCTGGGATGCGCACTGGGACCCACAGAACTGTCTCCAGGCCCCCTGCAGACAGCAGGCTCTCTGGGCTATTTTCTGGTTGGGGTCTGCTCCTACCCCCTTCTTTTAACAATGTGAAGTGACTAAGACTGGGGTGCCTCTCCCCAGCCCCTCCCACTGCCAGTTCAGCTTCGAACTGACATCCCGGAAATCCTTTCTGGAGAGCCTTGTCTTATTCAGAAGACTGTAGCATCTTGGGACTGGAAGGGTCTTTAAACGGGTATGGAAATAGGTCCAGAAAGGGGAGGGGGCCTCCTTGGGCCATGTCACAGAGCTGGTTGGGAGCAGGACCGAGAACTGAACTTGAGGCTCCGATTCTGAGTCCAGTGCTCTTCTTCCAACGCCACACTGCCTCTGAGCCCATCCTTGGAACCCTACTCTGTGCCAGGTTCCTGTCCCTCCCTCAGTCACACCTTTGCTCATTTCAGGATATGGGAACAAACCACTCATTCCCAGCCAGGGTGCCTTGGAGCCTTCTCAGTTCCAGATCTGCATTTGCATCCCTGTCTTGCTCCTCTCGCCTGGAAAGGTCCTTTCCCAGCCTGTGGGGCCTGGGTCTGTTTTAGCTCTGAACCAGTTCCCTTTTCTAAGTTCTCCGCTGGGATGGAGAAGAGTTGGATGCTCAGCGGGACCAGCTGCGTGTGGTTTCATTGTCTACCAAGAGAAGTGTTCCTGTCATGCTTCTCACTGGGGCCTTTGAGCCTGGGAACCCTGGGTCATGTCTACCCCGCAGGGGCTGAGGAGCGGAGTGTCTGAGGACAGGGTGGCACGACTGCTTGTACGCTCATGAAGACTTGCCCACGCCGTGGAACTCCCAGAGTGGGCCAGCAACTTCCCTAGTGCGAATCCCGGGCCTCACTTCCATTCTGTCAGCGAGGGGCTCAGGCTCTGTGCCCTGTGAGGACGTAGAGCTCCCACATTCTGAAATCAACCCACTGGGCCTGGGTGCCTGCCCCCGTCTCTCCGAGCTCAGAATGCCTGGGGGGCAGGTGGCTCCACTTCTCGCTGCCTCTGGCCTGAGGAAGGAGCGGGCAGGTTTGAGACCCGGTGGGAGCAGAGGAGAGCTTGGGGATTTTTGTCCAGGCCCTTCTGGGAGGCTGGGGACTTGACCTGCCACGTGTCCTGAGTCTGGTCACCGCCACTTCTTCCCTTCCCACTAAGGAATCTTTCTTGAGGACGCACTGCCAGGCCTGCAGGTATTGGGGAGGGGGAGAGAGAGGTCCCTCCAGGGGCTCTCAGCTGCTGAGCACACAGATCCTCTCACGAGGGGAGAGAACCTGAGGTCAGCGGGTGCAGCAGCAGCATCTGCAGTGTTCACTAATGCCCTGTAAGCGTTTGGCTGAAAAGAAGAGGAGAGAAATAGCTTAAATCACGTAGATGACGCCACCCTCCATTCTACCATCCCCTCCACGGGTGTTTGCCCCTGGGTGAGCGCAGGTGTGTGTCACCGCAGCTGCCTTGGTCACTTGGGATTTTAGAGCAGCCCACGGTGTGGGTGTCTTGTGCTTGGAGGACGAGTCTGAAGTTTGAAGATGCCTCTTCTGAGCCCCTAAGGGAGAGCAGCCAGTGCCACTGAGACCCGGCCAAGGGAGCAGTGGTCTGTTTCCAGACGAGGAGAGCCACTGGGCTGACCCACAGACACTGGGGGTGCCAGTGTGGAGCTGTCCCCATGGTTTGTTAGTGGAAAGAGCAGGTAAAAAAAGTTTTACCAAGTATTTGATTATAAATGCCCACTACCCACCATCTAGATTTAAAATTAACATTTTGCAACATTTGTTTGATTTCTCTTTCTCTTTACATATATATTTTTTCTGAACTAGTTTAAAAGTAAGTTGCAAATATCATGAGACTTCACCCCAAAATGAAGGCAATTTACTTCAGCCTGCACCTCCTAAAACTTAGGGCATTCTCCTAAATGTTGGCCCATATCACACCCAAGGCAACAGTGGTTTCGTAACATCTGCTACTCAATCCGTATTCAGATTTCCCCCAGATGACTTATACCTGGTTTTGGAATCAGGATCTGGTCAAGGTGCACACACTGCTCTTGTAACTGTGTTTTTAAAATTTCTTTGAATGCTGTAAAGTCCTCCCTCTGCTCACTTTGATTTTTCAAGTGACATTATTTCTGAGGCCAGCAGGCCTGCTGTCTTGCAGAAGTCCCACATTCTGGAGTGTCTGGTGGTTTCTTCATGGTGTCGTAGAACAAGTTCTTCTAGCTCCTGTAGTGTCAAGGGTCATTTAGGCGATACGGATTTTTGCCTTTTGTGCTGACTTGACGACTTCACTCCAGCCTAAGATGTCCCTCTACTGTCACCTGTACCAGGTGCCACACCTGCAGAGGGGCCAGCTGGAGCTCCAGGAGCTCAAGGGAGGGCGAGGGAGGAGCATCCCAGCTGGGCCTGGGAGGAAGGGCCAGGGGCGCTCTAGAAGGAGGAGGCTGCACGCCTGAGGCTGGACCAGGCAGTGTTGGGGCTGTTGGGAATGAGACGTCTGGCTCAGAAGAGCCTGTGCTGCCCCCTTTGATCCTGGTGATGGACCACAGGGCACCAAACAGCATCTCTCTCCTTTTCTCTCTCTCTGTTTTGTGGTTTCCGGGATTTTACCTCCTGGGGGCCCATGGTCTGTGTGCACTGGAGCAGAGCCAGGCAGCTGGGATACACCAGGGAAGGGCCCAGCTGGGGAACTGCCTCCCTCTAGCTATGGTGTGAGGAGAAGAGCGCTGGGCTGGAGGGAGGAGATGTGAAAAGTCATCCCAACTGGGCGCATTTAGTAGCTGTGTGATGGTTTTCCTCCCAGGGCCTCCATTTCCTCGTTAGTAGAATGAGCAGGTGGGGCCACAGCAGGGCTCCTCATTGGTCAAGGAAGGAAGCAGGGCCCAGGCACCCCCCACCCAGCCCTCGAGGCCATGCTGGGTTCCTGGTCTGCCAACGGTGGGCTGGCTGCTCCCCGGCTTACCCTCGCCAGCTCAGATAGCCAGAAATTTTGTTAGCTCCCAGGAAGGAGGAACAGGCGTGGGCTTGGTGTGAGGTCAAGGTCAAGGCCCTGGGGGAGACTCTGACTGTGTTTTATCCTAATAAGTTCATCCTTCCCTCTCTCTGGCTCTTGAGGATGGTGAGGGAGGAGAGGGTTTTCTATGACTGTGCTCGCTTTTATTATCAGCAAGAGGGCTCCTTTTGTAATTCGTGCATGAAATTCATGTCATTTCCTGGGGAGAAGAGAGGGCTGACTGCAGAGGGTGGGGGGCATGTTAGCGGAGCAGGCGGAGGTTTCCTTCCCTGTGGGGGTGGGGAGAGGGGTGGAGAGGGGGCGCTACCCAGCTCACCTGATCAGGGCTCTCGAACCAGCCGTTTTGGGTTGTGTTAAAAGCGGGAACCTTCCTCCATTAATGTACGATCTCGAACTAACTGCTAATAAAGTGGGGTTCTGTTTGTACGCGTTGGTCATGTCTGTCTGTCTGGCCTTTTTGCCAGGTCTGCAGGGGTGGGTGGAATTAGAGATGTTTGCATGCACAGCCCCCCGCTACACACACACACACACACACACACACACACACACACACACACGTAAATCAAAGATCATTTCCACAGGGTTGTAAACTGGAGCTTTTCCAGACAGCAGAGGCCTGTCCCAGGGCGGCCAGGTGGGGTGTCTCAGATGACATGGAGCCTTCAGACACACTAGGTCATTGAGAAGTGCTGGGGACTGAGCTCGGCACTGAGAGAAGACTCAGTCTAGAACCAGTCTGCCACAAATGTGTTGTGACTGGGGACAAGTCACTTTTACTTTCTGATCCTCGGTTTCCCTCGTCTTTTAGGGGTATGGAGGAAGTTGGACTCAGTGGCTGTTCCTGGAGAATTTGCTTAAAATGCAGATCCCCAGGCCACTCTTCTGGGGAGCCATCTCCAGCAGATGTGGGGTAGGGTCCAAGCATCTGCATTTTAACAACCTCTCCAGCACGCTGGGGTACCCCACTTTGGGA